CATGTATACATTTAGTGCCATTCATCTGGAGTGATAGAATTCTAAATCTTGCTTTTCTCACATTAAGCTCTATATCTGTGGCATTATGCTTCCCCCCAACCCTTCCACATAAATGTTTATGAAGTGGGCATTAAGAGACCAGGCAAGCTGTTAGCTATGGATGACTAGAGAACCCATTAGACTGCTTTAATTATCTTTGGCCATTGTGAGGAAGAAGAAACAGAAGGCTTTTAAGAAATTTTTAATAACAGACCTTTTCTCAATACATCATGCTGGAATCCTCCAAACCCATAGAAGGAACAGCACTTACAAATCTCAGCCTCTGAAAATAGGAGTCCTAAAATCTTTGTTGGTGTTTGCTACGTCCGTTTCCATGGAAACAGCTGTTCACTTGCTGATAAACAGAAGACGTCTAACACACCTCCCATTTGCAAGGATACCTCATCAATTTTTATGAGGCAGCTGGTAGTCTTAGGACTTGGGAGTAGCTGACAGTAGCCACATAAGTAACATCAAGCAGCACAAATACCATGCAGCGCACACAATCTTGAAAACAACATATCTACACAGACAGGAATAGGAACTATCCCACCCTTGCACTTACTGCAAGGCTACCTAAATGAAACAGGAATCGCAGATTACTATGGTTTCCCATTCCGTGCCATTATAATTCATTCTCAGCAGGCATACAACAGTATTGGCATGACAACACACAGGACTGGTTAACGCTGTGTCAAAATATGGATCATTACAGTGCACTGCTGTTTCATTTAAGAACAGACATACTGTGAATACTTACCTTTGTTTGCTCATGTGAGTGGTCTGTGCACATAAGCAATGTAAATGCCAATGAGCTTGTTCAAAAAAGATACAGTGGCAGCTTCCATCAGTAGTGGGTGAGAAGGATGTGTAAATTACTGCTTCTCATTAACAATTTTTTAATCCTATCAGAGCAGGGCACCTCAGGCAAACATGTCTGCATTAAGCCTACAGGCTTCACAGGTGAGTATGCCAATAGATACAGCCATTTATAGTTATAGAATTAATTATAATTCTGTTGTTCTAAACTAGAATTAATTTTAATCATCCTGTTAGCTAACACTAAGTGTTCCAGATGTCATTCTATCCTAAATTTTAATTCAGCTAAATTCATTTCTATTTCTAGACTTCACTCATAACTCCCCCACCCCTTTTTGACACCATCATATATTTCTACAGACTTGGACCACCCGCATGTGACTTATGTTTGGTTCACGGATGCAAGAGAATAAGTTGGGAAAGAAATGGTAGCATGCCAAAGATGCAGAACAGACTGCATTACTCCAGGCTGCAAGTGGTGAGTTTCGGCTTCAGATTTCCTTTTGTGTAAAAAGGTCTATACAAACTGTAGCAGGAAGAAGGGTTTACACTCTACCACAAACGCTGCTTGCTGCTAACACTGAGGAACATTACAAAGAATGAACCTCCATCTACAGTCTGAAGTGATGCAGTTCATTCTACCACTTCATTTCCCCAACATCCTACTGCTTTTGTGAACCAGACCGTAGATTGTATCTTTCAACTTCTACAATTGACTTTTTACATTGTCATCCACTATTCTTTTTCTCCTAAAAAGACAACAGAAAATGACTAACAGTTAACAAGACTGTAGGTAGCATGAATGACTGCAGAAGGAATTATAGATTCCCTACTCAATGAAAGCAAATGGAGACTTCTCGCAATATTCAAGACCAAACAAGCAACAATAAAAATCATGCTTCCACACCAAATTCACATCATAACAATTAACCTGTAAGAAAAAGTCTCAGATACTCTTAAGTCAAATTGAGCTATATCTAAAAATCAGATAAGCTTCTGGACAACAAAGTATAAAAGACTACCAACCAATATTGCCATACAAAAAAGGGTGCCAGAGACAAAGAGCAAACCAGGTTAGATTACTGTCTATTTGGTATCCACTGATACAATCTCCTGAACCAAGACCTCCAAGGTCGGATTTACTGTCCGCATGCCCCAAATTGTTCTGCTGCCCTGTGTGCTGAGACATTCTTCTCAAAACAGCAGAATTACCAAAGGATTCTTTGAAGCAAACTCACAACACAGTAGTATTTTTCAGCTACATTAATATCCAACTTTGGGTTTTTCAGAAACATGGCAGAATGGGAAAATCAATGGAATATGGTCATACCTGGATATAGGCTCTATAGGCAGGACAGGGAAGGACATGTTGGGAGGGGTGTTGCATTGTATACCAAAAAGAGCAGAGAGCAGAGAGTCAAATAAATTAGAAAACATTAGGGGAATGAACTCCCTGACAAAAGCAATATAGGTAGAGATACTAGGCCCAAAGGGTTACTTAAAAAGTGGGGGTGTACGATCGCCCACTTGATCAAACCCTTGAAGCTGATCTTGAGATGAATGAGAGGAAATAAGGGAGGTGACTAAATCAGATAATGTTGTGATATTGGATGACTTCAAATACCCTGACACTGACTGGGTAAACGTGCTCAAGTCATGCTACAGAAATGAGATCCCTAGACATCCTGAGTGACTGTGCACTGGAACAGTTGGTCACTGAGCCAATCAGAGAGGTAGTGATCTTAGACTTGATTTTGAACAGGGCTCAAGATCTGGTGTGAGCTGCAGATGTTGCACCAGTTGGGAGCAGTGACCACAATGCGCTCTCTCTCTCTCTCTCTCTCTCTCTCTCTCTCTCTCTCTCTCTCTCTCTCTCTCTCATACTGCTTCTTAAGTTATTAGTTTTAAGCAGATTCCAAAAATGTGAAGAACTAGACCACATTTGAAAAGTGATAAAAATCTACCACAAACATATAAAATTTTGCAACTAAAGAGAGATAGGTCTACTATCACCTTCTAATAAAAGTGGTAATGTCTCCTCCATATAATCTATATTTTGGAGCAAAGGAAAAATTAAAAGATTTCTAGCTTCATGATAAAAATTAGCACTTATTTAAATATATCCAGAGCAGGAAGCTGGCCAAAACAGCAGCTCGGCCTTTGGGCAACCAAGGAATAAAATGATTGCTAAAGCAAGATGGGGAGATGGCAGAGAAGCTAAACAAACTCTTTGCATTTGTGTTCACTATGGAAAATGTGAGGCGTGTAACCACATCATAGCCACTATTCTCCGGAAGGGAATCTGCAGTAAAATTAAGGTCAGAAGACATGAAATTCTAGACATATTGTGGAAATTAAAAACCCGCAAGTCTTCAGGTCATGATGGCATGCACCCAAGGGTTCTTAGCCAACTCAAATGTCAGACTGCTTAATCTACTACCCAGCATATCTAACATCATTAAAGTCAGACATGGAACCAGAAAACTGGAGGGTAGCAAATGTTACACTGGTTTTTAAAAAGGGGCCCAAGGAAGATCCAGGAATTTACAGGCCAGTTAGTCTAATGTCTGTCCCAGATAAATTAGTAGACACTGTAATCAAAGATAGAATTATCAGGCACACAGAGGAATAAAACCTGCTGAGGAAAATCAGCATGGCTTTTACAAAGGGAAGTCCTGCCTCACCAACCTTTTGGAGTTCTGTGAGAAAGTGAACAAATCTGTAGATAACGGTAAGCTGGTAAACATTATATACTGTGGACTTTTCAAAGGCTTTTGACAATGTACCTCACCAAAGATTCATGAGTAAACTTAGCAGACATGGGATCAGAGGCTGGATCCTCTTATGGACTATGAATTGATTAAACAACCGGAAACTGAGGTTAGGAATAAATGGACAGTTCTTGCAATGGAAGAGAGTAAGTAGTGTGGTCCCACAAGGACTGATATTGGGGCTGGTGCTATTTAATTTGTTCAAAATGATCTGGGTCTGGGGGCAGCACAGGGGCCAAGTTTGCGATGACACAAAATTATTCAGGATGGTGAAAACCAAAGCTGAGTGTGAAAGCTCCATGAGGATCTTCACAAATTGAGTGAGTGGGCAACAATGTGGTGGATGAAGTTCAACGTAGGTAAGTGTAAGGTGATGCACACAGGAACCAAAAGATCCATCCTTAACTATATGCTAATAGGGTCTGAACTTGCAGAGAGTGAGGGGGAAAGAGACCTTAGGGTTGTAGTGGATAATTCAACAAAAATATCAATCTAGTGTGATGCAGCAATGAAAAAGGCAAACTCTGTTCTGGGAATTACTAAGAAAAGGATACAAAATAAATATTATGCCCTTGTATAGATCTATGGTACAGCCTCATTTGGTATACTGTGGGCAGTTCTGGTCACCATATGTCAAAAGGACCCTACAGAGCTGGAACAAGTAAAGAGGGCAACCAATATGATTAAGAGGTTGGAGCAGCTTTCCTATGAGGAAACACTGAAGAGAATGGTACTTTTCAGTTTACCAAAGTGACAACTAAGTGTGTTCATGTGTGGGGAACATGATAAGAGGTTCATAAAATTATGCATGGGACATGGACAGTTGACAGCAGAAACTTTTTCTCCCTCTTCCAAAATACTAGAACTCGAGGGCATCTAATGAAATTGATGGGCTGTCGATTCAGAATGAATAACATTTCTTTACTCAACGAGTCCTTAAAACTGTGGTATTTTCTGCCAAGGGATATAGTGATGACGACAGGCATAGAAGGCTTTAAAAGGAGATAAGACAGATTTATGCAGGATAGGACTTTCAGCAGATACTAACTGTGGTGATTACAGGGAATCTCCATTCAGAGGCAGTTGTACCAATGCCAGGAGGCAACAAGAGGGGAAGGCCTTGGTCTCTATGCCCTGCGGTTAGCTCTCGAGAGTAACTGGTTGACCCCTGTGTGAGACAGGACGCTCGACTAGATGGACCACTGGTTTGATCCAGCAGGGCTCTTCTTATGAGTGACATTATCACAGTGCAAAAATCAGATCAAACTTGGTTGCAGAAGTACTAGCCGCCTCATCAGTCATTACAATTTAAAACCCGTTTCAAGTCAATGCCATTTGACATCCAAACCATATACATTGCCACATACTCACCGCTGATGTTGCTCGAAATCATATTGCCGCAGTTTTTCACTTCATCAAATTTCATAAATATCGTTTGTAACCTAAAAAAATGCAAATAAAGCTAACATATCACCGCATTTCTTCATCCACATCATAATAATCTCAAATTCAATTAAATCCAACATAAGATTTTAGTACCAATGCACCGAATTCTGGAAATCCTGGCAATACCATAAACCCAGGACTGGAAACTGTGGTGCACAGCCTGAATCTAGATTAGATTAACTGTGATGCACTCTACATGGGGCTGCTCTTGAAATGTGTTTGGCAACTTCAACTGGTGCAGAATGCTACAGCCATGATGTTAACTGGGGTGGGTTGTAAATACCATATCATTCCAATCTTGGCCCATCTACATAGGCTTCCAATCTGTTTCCAGGCACAATTCTAGGTACTGATGCTGGCTTCAAAGCCCTATATGGCTTGGAACTAGCACACCAGAAGACTATCTACTCCATTACAAACCTAACTGACCACTATAATCATCTTCCAAAGCGCTGCTTTGGTTACCCCCATCTTCTGAGACTGGGCAGGTAGCAATCCGGGAGAGGGCCTTCTCAGTTGTAGCACCAGTACTCTGGAACGGCCCTGCCTGGGAGCCTCGCCTGTCTCCTTCTGTTGCTGTCTTCCACCAGTTGGCATTCCCTCAGTGTTTTAATTGTTATTCCAATGCCTTTGTGTATTTTAGCTTTGGTTTTAATTGTTTTAATGATGTTTGTTTTCAATGGTTTTAATTGTTTTAATTATGTTTGTTTTCAATGGCTTTTAAGACATGTTTTTATTATTTTCTAAATCTGTTAGTCACATTGATGGCCCAGATGAGGGTAGAAAGGCAGGGTATAAATCTCCTTGTAAATAAATATTGAAGTATGTTGTCAAAGGCTTTCACGGCCGGAGTTCATTAGTTGTTGTAGATTTTCTGGGCCGTATGGCTGTGGTCTTGGCATTGCAGTACCTGACGTTTCGCCAGCAGCTGTGACTGGCATCCTCAGAGATGTAACACAGAAAGATGGAGTACTCTGTGTTACAACTCTGAGGATGCCAGTCACAGCTGCTGGTGAAACGTCAGGTACTACAATACCAAGACCACGGCCATACGGCCTGGAAAATCTACAACAATATTAAAGTAAATAAATGAAACAAATAAAGCTAACTTTGCGATGAAATCTCACAAGATTCTGTGGAATCTTGTTTAGTGTGATTTTGAAGTAGAGCGGAATCATACATTTAAATTCAGAGGACTTGTAGCAAAATGCATTTCTTGCTTAATTTCCAGTGATTCTTAAAACTCCATTTATACCCAACCTTTCTCTCCAGTGGAGACCCAATGTGTCTTACATAATTCTCCTCTCCTCCATTTTATTCTCGCAGGTTAGATTGAGAGAGTCTAGGACTTGGCCTAAAGTCACCCAACAACCTTCTCTCAGAGAGTGAGGATTTGAACCTGGTTTTCCCAGATCCTAGTATGGCATCTGACCACTATACTACACTGGCTCAGGTACATAAATAATTGTCCAAACGTTAAAACTGCAGCCTCTATGTCACATGTGATTGGACTTTCTACTGACAATCATCAATTCAAAATATACTCAAATCTATCTTGAGTTCACTCACCTATTTTGGCTTCCTTTTGAGATGCTGCTCCTTTTATTTCACCCCCCAGTATTTTGTTTCTGCTAACTTCCAAACCAATTTAGCCTCTGTGTCCCAATTTCAGCAATGACTATTGGCTCGATTCCGGGCATTTGCTATTCTAAGGACCTTCTAATCCTACAGATGTTAGATTTGCTAATTCTTTTTACGTATCCTATCATCTGGTGCTCTGTTTTATTATTTAAGATCCTCAACCCAAGTTTCAAAGCTAAACATTCTCCAAAGTCCTACAGTTATATTCCAAATCCCAAATCCAAACTTTAGATGCTCAGAGAAAAACAGCACATTGTGAATTCTCAAATGGAAAAGCATATTCTTCTATAATGATATCATTTGGTATCTAAAGTTGCATATCTACCTGAAAGTCTAATTATTCACGACGACCTTATTTGGGTCCCCCTCCCACTTCAAAAACAGGGCATAAAGGCCTCTGCGTGTTCCTAGAAACAGGAACACAACGGTGTTGTTCACTGTCCTTGTAATGCTGATTACAAAACGATGTTCTCACAGAAATGATTAATGTTGACTTAGCAAGGATAATATGCACACAAGCATTCAAAGTAATTGTTTCTTGAAACTTTTTCAAGGTGGCAGGGGCAGAAGAGGCAGTTTCCTGAACATGAAGACCAGAGTAGTATCCTTGGAGAACCTATTTAATATTTCCAATTTGAAACATTGTGCAAGTAAATGAGCAGGTAACTCAGAATCCCATGCAGTCTATTTTATAACACTAACTCTCAGGAAAAGGTTCTTGGCATTGCAATGGTAGTGTTCATATTGGAGAAAAAGACATAGTGCCTGTAGTTCTGTCACAAAATTTAATGTTACTCAAGTTACTCCAGAGCAGCAGTTCCCAACCTTTTTGGTATGATGACTCACAAATCCAAATTTATTTGGTATGGTTGCCGACTTTAATGGGGGGAAAAACATGCACATGTCAATAAAACTGCAAAAGCCAGGGATCTACTTTCACAGGCTTCACAAGCCATTTCGAGTCAGGACCCAAAGGTTGAGAAACACTGCTATATAGAATTTATGTGCTATTAGCATGCTATAATTTATGAATTTCTTCGTGAGGCTGCTTCTTTTTTTGCAAAGGCTCTGGGTAAGAAGCTTAAAAAGTTCAATGCATTCTTTATGCCAATTAAGGTATGCTCATATGTTCTTAATGGCTTTTATCTCTAATAATCTCTTATGTAAATAACTCAGAAATTATTAGATTACTTAAAGTTTTAACTAAAACACAGCGATTATTGGCTACTGAATACGAGAGTTTCACAGTGATCCTGGAACAAATAGAGTTCTGATCTTCCCTTAAAGTCAGAAGGCTGAATTGTGTTAAGTGGTGAATGTCTGAGGTTTTAATGGTTAGTATGCTGCTTTAATTCAGCCAAAGAGATTTTCAGTTTCCTTCTGGTTGTTTTAAGATCATACCCCCTTATAACAGAGATAGATCAAGAAACCTCATAACATGTCACATATTTTGTTCGTCTTTAAGGTGCTACTGGACCCTTGCTCTTTTTTGCTACCCCCTTATAAGCGGGTCTTTTCAGAGTGTCTCAATTTTTATCTGAGGACAATCAGAAAGACATTTTTTTCTCTCAGGCTATTTTTCAAGGGCACTTGCTATATGTGCTTATGTAACCTTGCTATCCATCTTTCCCTCATATCTGCAGGCTCTAAGGTCCTAGCCAAAAGAGAACACAGTTGTCATTACACTTGGGCAACCTTCACTTTAGTATTCTCAGTTAAGAACATAAGAGACGTGAATGATGGACCAAGCAGAAGGCCCATCCAGTCCAACACTCTGTCACACAGTGGCCAAAAATACCAGGTGCCATCAGGAGGTCCACCAGTGGGGCCAGGACACTAGAAGCCCTCCCACTGTTGACCCCCCCCAAGCACCAAGAATACAGTGCATCACTTGCCCCAAAGTGATGGGCTAATAGCCACGGATGGACCGCTGCTCCTTATGCTTATCTAGTTCCCTTTTGAAGCCGTCCATGCTTGTAGCCGCCACCACTTCCTGTGGTAGTGAATTCCATGTGTTAATCATTCTTTGGGTGAAGAAGGACTTTCTTCTCACCCGACCACTCAGCAATTTCATGGAGTGAACACGAGTTCTTGTATTGTGAGAAAGGGAGAAAAGTGCCTCTTTCTCTACCTGCTCTATCCCATGCATAATCTTATAAACCTCAATCATGTCACCCCTCAGTCGTCGTTTCTCCAAGCTAAAGAGCCCTAAGCGCTTTAACCTTTCCTCATAGGGAAAGTGTTCCAACCCTTTTCTGCACTTTTTCCAAAGCTATAATATCCTTTTTAAGGTTTGGTGACCAGAACTGCACACAGTATTCCAAATGAGGTCACACCATTGATTTATATAGGGGCATTACGATATTGGCTGATCTGTTTTCAATACCCTTCCTAATTAATCCCCAGCATAGCATTGGCCTTTTTATTGCAGTCACACACTGTCTCGACATTTTCAGTGAGTTATCTACTACAACTCCAAGATCTCTCTCTTGGTCAGTCTCTGCCAGTTCAAACCCCATCAATGTGTATTTATATTTAGGAATTTTGGCTCCAATGTGCATCACCTTGCACTTGGCCACATTGAACCCCATTTGCCATGTTGACGCCCACTTGCCCATCCTTGACAGATCCCTTTGGAGTGCCTCACAATCCTCACTGGTTTTCACCACCCTGAACAACTTCGTATCATCCGCAAATTTAGCCACTTCACTGCTTACTCCCAACTCCAAATCATTAATGAACAAGTTAAAAAGCATTGGACCAAGTACTGATCCCTGCAGTACCCCACTGCTTACCACCCTCCACTAAGAAAATTGCCTATTTATACTCACTCTCTGTTTTCTATTAATTAGCCAGTTTTTGATCCATAAAAGGACTTGTCCTTTTATCCCATGATTTTTGAGCTTACTTAGGAGCCTTTGATGAGGAACTTTATCAAAAGCTACAACAACAGTTACAACTTGAGGATTCCTGTTCAGTCCCAGATGGACACCAGTTTTGTGGAAGATAATGGAGCACCTCCTTGCATATTTTGTCAAGAATGAACCAACAAGTGTTTCTAGGAAACATCCCTGGCTAAGCGTCTGTAGAAGCAACCACCACCCAGACACACAGAACTGAATTCCTACAGATTTTGTACTACTGGCCAAAACATCTATTTTGCAGTCCCACACTACTAACTCAAATTTAGTTACCATATTAGTTTTTTAATGGATATTATGCTTTCGGATTTCCTACAGATTTCTAAAAAGGACAAGTCACTTAATACACACATCTGTTTGATGTTGTTGAAAACAGCACCAAAGAGATTTCCTTCAGATCTCTCCGTGAACTGTCAGATGGTATTTGGTAGCAT